CATTAAAAACAACCTCCAATTCAGCCTGATCGAAACTGATCTCTCAAAAAAGTAAATATAAACGCAGGCATTAATGAGGATATCATTTTAATTATTATTAATAATTAAGACTCAGATAGTTATTGAAGCAATGCACTTCCTTACAATGCTAATGAAGTATATCAGGCAAAAGATGGCACCATAGAGAAAGAATCTGCATTCATAGAGGATTGAAGCTGGCAGAAGAAGTAGCGTGTGCTCCACTCACATGGTTTCAGGCTGCTCGCATTATCCCAGCAATCTGGAAAAGAGCAACACTGTAGAAAAGATGGTGTGCCATCATTTCTAATATTGTTTCCCATTCACCATGGTGGGTTTGGATACTGTGAGTTGACATTCAGAAACATCTGGAAAGCCAAAGGATGCCAAAGATCCACTAACACTACAGTAATGTAAGTACTGATTCTGCTTACCTAAACATGTCTGTCTGTTTTGTATGCTTTGAAAGACTTCTTGCAGAGGATTGAACAATTGAGCACTTATTTTGTGCTCTAAAGGGAGATTTGAACTGCAATATATTTAGAGTTCAATATGTTTTCCTTAAACTTATTAGGTCCTACCATCAGGTAGACATAAATTATATTGTCATGTTGGGCCTAGAGAGCAACCATCTATCTTGGGGTGTGGCCCTCCATTACTATCATATTATGATTTTTATTGTGACAGAATGGGAAATTATTGAAGGGGGCTAATTACATTAACCGGATTTAATTTAATTATATTGTTTCTAAGTTAACTTCAATTAAATAAAATATAATTCATTTCAGCCACACTCACCTTTTTTCCTGGCCCCATAGTCAGAACTTTTATATAGTTCTCAGGTAAAGATTGTCAAAAAACAAGAAAGACTTCTGTAAAAAAAAAATGTAGACAAGATGGGAGGAAAATGTAGATTAGATATTACATATTACATGACTTTTGCATTGGAATCTTAATATAGAGAAATAAAACAGAAATGCACAAACGTTATTTGTTGAAATTAAATTTTTACAAAGTATATCAGCAACATTCATGGGGAGGGGGGACAAGGGGAGGCAAATGACAAAAACAGTGCTGCATCAGTGAAATACAACCTTCACCCTTTTGTGGTATGTTGTGGCATTGCATGCCTGCAAGAAATGGTTGGAACTTATCGTAATATTGCTTTCATCATTTTGACAAAAGGGGCATGGACAACTGTGATCTAAAAGCACTGGACTGATTGGTGGGAAGACAAACTATTGGCCTCTTTTTTTTTCTAAAGTGCACACATGAAAAACTACAGTAAAATGTAAAACCCACCCATTCACATTTCTAGGAATGGGTTTAAAAAGTGTAAATATAGCCAATCTGTACCCAGTTTATTAGCAACTCAGATGATAAGTGCTTACAGCTGGAATACCAATAGACCAAAAGTCCTGCGTTAAACAATAACCACAAATATACAGTACCTACATTCATGTATGTATGTATCATACATATAGTACATACAAAATATGTATCAAATGCAATGTTTAAGAGGAGAAATAAACACTAGGAAACAGTGCACACACTAGAAATATGTGCATGCCAATATACAATTATGCATGCATTAGGACAAATATCCACAAATACATGTGATTTTTGAGGGGGAGATTGTTGGTGCTGGTTTTTGTTGTTGCTGTTGTTGTTGTTGTTGTATGATCCACCCTCCCTTTTGATTGTAAAGTGCTGTAGAAATAGGACTGAATGAATTTAGGGGTAACAAGATGAGAAACTGAGTGAAAAAGAAATTAACAGATTTGCTCATTCATATTCAGTTATTCTATGAACAGCTGTTAGTTTGTTTTAGCACAAAACCCAAACAAAGATGAAATATTACACAATAGAGGTTTACAATTCACACCTTTGCAAACATTTTGTCCCTTCAGCATGAAGCTATGGGCAAAATATTTACCTTATCTTTGATAAAATATGCAACAGCCGGATGAAACAGCTTTGCAGGTTACATTCAGCTGCCAGTTGACCAACTCTAGGTAGACAATCTTGGAATACACTTATTGATTTCCTATTTAATTAGAAAAGCTACAAAATAAACTGGTAATGATTCTCAGAAATTATCTGACTAATTACTTGGCAGCAATACATGTTCAATGTATTGTAATGGGCTGAAAGATGTGGTGCCAAGGGCAAGTTGACAAACCAAGCAACTGATGATTGGAAGAAAACTCCCAAAGCCATAAATTGAAGTTTGCTTTCGTTACATTATGGGATAGAAATGACCTAAAAATTAAAATAAATTTCACACATACTCTTTAATAAGGCATAAAGTAATATAGAACTCTGATCAGTTAGAAAATCTGAATTCATGAATGCACAAAAAGAAGTCATTTGGTATGTGTTACCTGTTCTGTAATGTATTTAAATGAAACAATTAGGCTTTGCAAGAATATTATTTTAAATTCTTAGCTGTTTTCAGGGAGATGAAAGATTGTTGATCATTATATCTTAAATGTGATTGTAATGTTGTATAATATAAGGTTCCCAGGGGTCAATGCGGTTCAGGGTGACTTTGTTTATTGTAGCTTGGAATAGTGCTGTACATTTTTTTCTGTTCATTGATGAAAGAGATTGAACATTCCTTTCTAAGAAAACAGTTTCAGTGAAATTCCCAAGGATGGAGTGCGGACTACATTCTGTATACGTAACTATTGGGTGGGCAAGTGGTGTACATGAATGTCCTGAATTTCACTGTACCAGTGCTGTTCAGCATCCAGGTTTCCATAAATCCCAAGTGAAGATATCAGAAAGGAACTCATCCCATCAGGGTTTTGGTTTTGGTTTTGTGTGTGTGTGTGTGTGTGTGTTTAGATAAGGCAGTATAGACAGCCAGGGAAGATCCAGAGTATGATATAAAACACCACACCAGCAATGGTATCCCTTGCCACCTCCAACAATAAAGAAAACACAAAAAACATCCCCAACGGACAGCGTAAATTCTTGAGCACCCTGAGAATAAAACAGAGAAGCAGAAACTAGTGCAGGAAAGCCTTTGAGAAACTGAATCACATTTCATTAGATTTTCAAACAACATTAGTTTTGAAGGAGTCAGCTGTTTCAGGAGTCAATTTCACCATCAGTTGAGTGCAATCTTTTGCATATTTATTCAAAAGAAAATCCTACTACTTTTAAAGAGCTTAGTAAGGAAACTGTATTGACAAATTGGTGGAGGCTATATTTAATGGGTGACTTTCACTTACTTGTTTGCTTACTTATTTCCTTGTTCTTACGTGCCAGAGCTGGTATGATTAAAAGCAGTTTCCGGTTAAAAGCACATGTTTTTCAAACTACAGTATTTGGTTTCTGAAGCATTACTATATTAGGAAACCAAACATTCGCCTTTCCTTTCAATAATTTAAGATGGTTTTCATTTACTTAACTTTATTAAAATTAATTTATTTTTATATATTTGATCTCAAAAACTTATTTATAACTGTATTAGTTGTAGGTATATGGAAGTTTGGATTAACCTGTGTAATTAGGGTTTGCATAATTATGTTTTAATAAACTTGGAAAATTGTAATTTTATACTGCAGTCTTGGAGTTTATACATAGTCAATATAAATGATATTTTTAGAGTTTTTATGGAATTCTGTATATATGATAACCTATTAATCTTTTTATTCTTTAACTTTTTATCCTGATTGTTATGACTTATGGTTAAACAAATAAATTAGACTTGACTTGATGCTTTGATGGTATGAATATATTTTTCAATTTATTCAAATAATTAAAACATAAGTTTTATTTTTAAAAAATAGTTGAGAACATTTACACTTTTTTTATTTTCCTATATTTACTTCATGAGCTGATACAGTTACAAGGACCAAACTTCTCAGAATGAGCTTTCTGTGATTTTTAAGGTACAAACATGATGACTCAACTTTAAGTATGATGCACAATACAGTCTCTGTTTACCATGTCCAAAGCTGTGGTAAAGCTGTGGTAAAGTTATGACTTGTTTATACTTTGGTGATAGGGCACCTGTAGCCTTCCTGATGTTGTTGGAATCCAACTACAGTCATCCTATTTGAGCTACAATTCAGCTATATTTGGCAGGTGGCAGGTTACTCCTGATTTGTAATAGTATCATCACATGCTAGTGATTTTATTACTCTGTTTTACAAGTAGAAAATTGCATGTTCTCTTACATAAAATAAAAAAATACAGTCACAGAAAACATTTGTAAAAATTTACATTTCTTCTATCATTATTTTGTCCTCAAGATTTCTGTTATTATGTGTGAGTCAGATTGCTTTAGTGTATGTAAACAGCTAGAATGACCTATATAATATTCAGAACCTGTTTTTCTTTCTTTTGTCAGAACATGTAATGATTCACTTCTTAAAATGAAACAAAATGATCATTTGAAGAAAAAAAAAAGTCACACAAGCTCTTTGCCAGTTGGAGAGTACACAGCATTGCTAATTGTCCAGAAACCAACATTTTCTTTTGTGACTTATGGAAATTTTAGATTACATCTGTTCTTTATGATGCAACTTGCTTGAATTGCCTACATGGCTTTTTCCTTGATGTGCAGTCTCTTGTTGCTTCATTAGCTTGCACGCTCTTGTCTTTATTTATGCTGTACCGTAAAGCAAACTCTTGGAAAAGTCCAAGATTGAAGGGATGGGGAAGCCGAGTTACAGCAATTCTTATCTCTCCTCCACTTTTATCTCTCACACAAATAGGCTAAATGATTCTTTCTGTTAAGGACAAAATATGGACAAGTTCCACCAGTTGATTTCAAGACCCACAGATCTATGATTTAGTGGACCTGATGTGTAAAGTACTTTGCTTCTTCAGTTGAAACTGATAACCTTTTTTTTCTCTCCTACTGAAGCTTCTTCTGCCTACATTTACTCCCTGCTTCTTCAAAACAATTTAATGATTTAGGAATGGGTGCTTTGTATGATCAAAACTCTTTCTTTCTTCTTTTTAAGGAAGCTTGCAAGTCCGATACAGACTGAGTAAAGACAGATCTCTTATTTTCACAATTGATTCTGGAAACTTTGCTAACAGAGAACTACACAATGTGAAGATAAATAGAGATGGAAGAGAGCTGACTATTCAGGTATCTAATTTAAAACCATTTGTTGTGGGCCACACCTTCCTGAACTTTCACTGTCCTTAGTGAGTAGATGAAAAGAGATACCTGTCCTAAAAAGTTCATTCCCATGTTTGTTATTGTTGCTGTTGGGTCTGTAAGTAGCTACAGCAATGGCATGGTCAGATGAGTGCTTGCCAACCCAGGTGAGTACCCTGTCTTCTAGCTGCACCCACTACATTAAGACTGGAAAGAAGGGAGAGAAATTCAAGAGGAGAAAGAGGGATGATCTAGAGCAGGAGTTCTCAAACTACGGCCCGCGGGCCGGATACCGGCCGCCAGGGTCATTTATCCGGCCCGCCTGCCCAATTGGCCACCGCTGCTGTCTCTCAGAAGCAGAAGCGTCAGGGCCGTGTCAGGAGCTGCAGGCGATGCACGAGGAGGGAGTTCACAGAGCTGGACTCTTCTACATTACAGGTATACCGGGTCCGGCGGCTCTCCTCCTCTCCTCGTACTCCATGGGAGGGATCCTCTGTGCAGGGTGATCGGTGTGTCGTTCTCCAAGCTGCTTGTCTCATTCTTTCTCCCAACTGCCCACCCCATTCTTGCAATCCCTCGGAAACCATCTGGTCTTCCCCAGGTCTCATGAGTACAGGCGCCCTATTTGGAGAATGGCAGGAGCCCCATTCTCATGGTGCTTCACATTTGCATTTTATGTTCCTTCCTGTTTTACCCACACAATGGATTTCATTCGGAATGTCATTAAAATATTCCCAATAATCTGCTGCCATGACTAGGTTTTAGTCAATAGAAGGCACTATCAGTGCCTGAAACTTATTTCCAAGATTAAATTCCAGTTTTA